GGGGGGGGGGGCTTTCTTCGGCAAGACCCCCAGGCCCGCCAGGCCCAGGGCTCCATCCCCCCAGACGCCCCCGGGTGGCCCTGCCATCACAGCACGGCCCCCGCAGACCCGCACGCGGGGGAGGCCTGTTGGTCTCGGGGACGGTTACCAAGCCGACGGAGGTGTGGTCACTGACGCTCTGCAGGTAGCTGAGCAGCAGCTTCTCCACGGGGCTCTGCTCAAACTGGCGGGCCAGGGCCTCCGCCCAGATGAGCTCCAGCAGGTCCAGAGACACTTCCGCCAGGTGGAGTCGGAGCTGCGCCAGCCTCCTCCTCAGAGGCGTGTTGACGTTCTGTACCTGGGCGCGCCAGAGACACAGTCAGGGCGCGGGCAGGCCCCGCGACCCCCCACGCCCCGTGCTTCCATCAGCTCCGATGAGACGCCACGGGCCGTCTCCACAGCCAAACAACGCCCGTGTCCCTCAGTCCCTCCCTCCTGGCGGCCACCAGCCACACTCCAGCACTCTGAACCGGTTTGTGTTTTCTAGGGTTTCGTGCCCGTGGGCTGACGGCATGTGCTCTCTCTGGCGCTGTTCCCTTGCATAATTATTTCAGGCCCATCCACATTGCTGCACGCATTCGTGCCCGTTAACTGACGGGGAGAACCCGCCACAGGGCGCTTATCCACTCACACTCCGGGCCGGCTCACACGGTGGCCTGTGTCTAACTGCCAAAGCGTGGTCCGTGCTACGCCCCTAGCCGAGCGGCCGGAGGTCTGTCCCTCCCCGTCCTCGCTGACGATCAGTATGCTCAGTCTTCCCAATTGTAGCCATTGTCACAGCGGGCTGTGGTTTTCCATGACCGTCAGCGTCTCGCTGGTTCACTGGTGGGTTCACCATCTCTGCACGTCATCGTCCACCATCCACACGTTCCCCTTGGGGGTGTCTGCTCAACTGCCCCCTTTTTATTGGGTTGTTTCTTATTATTAAGTTTTAGGAGTGTTTTAAATTAAAAAGAAATTTTTAATGCTTATTTATTTTCGAGAGAGAGACACAGAGTGGGTCGTGGGAGGGGCAGAGAGAGAGGGGGGGACATAGAACCCGAAGCAGGCTCCAGGCTCCGAGCTGTCAGCACAGAGCCCGACGCGGGGCTCGAGCCCACGAACCTTGAGATCATGACCTGAGCCGGAGCAGTCGCTTCACTGACTGAGCCACCAGGCGCCCCAAGAGTGTTTTATATTCTGGATCAAATCTTGTCAGTCATATGGTTCACAAATATTTTCTCCCAGTCCGTGCCTTCCCTTTTCATTCCCTGAATAGTGTCTTTTGAAGAGCAGGCTCCAATTTATCAATTTATTCCTTCATGGATCATGCTTTTATTGCCGTAGGTGAGAAATCTTTGCTGAACCCAAGGTCCCGAAGGTGTCTTCCTCTAGAAGCTTTGTAGTTTCAGCTCTTACCTGTAAGTCTATGATCTGCTCTGAGCTCCGTCCTTCCAGCTGTGTTTTGGGTGTGCATTTCCAGTGGCACCAATGTTTTATTTAGTTATTTTATTTTTAAAAATTTTTGTTAACATTTATTTATTTCTGAGAGACAGAGAGAGACAGAGTATGAGCGGGGGGAGGGGCAGAAAGGGAGGGGGACATAGAATCTGAAGCAGGCTCCAGGCTCTGAGCTGTCAGCACAGAGCCCAATGCGGGGCTCGAACCCACAAACGATGGGATCATGACCTGAGCTGAAGTCGCTGGCTTAACCAACTGAGCCATCCAGGCACCCCCAGCCTACTGTTTTGAAGAGTAGCCTTTCTTCACTGAATTGCCTTTGCTCTTTTGTTGAAAATCAATTTTGTGTCTGTAAAGTGTATCTATTTCTGGATTCTCTGTTATGTTCCATTGATCTCATGTCTTACTTTTACATTAAAACCACACTGCTTTGGTTCCTGTCACTTTATAATAAGTCTTAAAATCAGATAGTGTTAGATCTCCAACTTAGTTTTTCTTTTTTTCTTTGAACTTTTTTTTAATGTTTATTTATTTTTGAGAGAGACAGAGACATAGTGTGAGCAGGGCAGGGGCAGAGAGAAAGGGAGACAGAATCCAGAGCAGGTTCCAGGCTCTGAGCTGTCAGCACGGAGCCCAATGTGGGGCTCGAACTCACAAACCGTGAGATCATGACCTGAGCCGCAGTTGGACGCTTAACCGACTGGGCCACCCAGGTGCCCCTAGTTTTTCTTTTTTAAAGTTGTGTTTGCTATGTTATGTCTTTTGCAATTCTATGTGGATTTTAAAATAATTTTGTCAATTTCTGTAAAAAAGCCTGCAGCTTCTTGGTCGGGACTACAGAAAATTTAGGGAGAATTGAGATCTTAGCAATATCCAGTCTTCTGGCTCATGAACATGGTATATCCCACCATCTGTTTGGGCCTCCTTCACTTTCTCAGCAATGTGTTACAGTTCTCAGGGTAGGCGTTTCCACTTTTTTATCAAATTTCATTTTCATTCTGTCAGATGGTATTGTTTTGAATTTTTTTATTTAAAAACATTTTTTTAATGTTTCTTTTTGAGAGAGAGAGAGAGCATGGGTGAGGGAGGTGCAGAGAGAGAGGGACAGAGAATCCCAAGCAGGCTCCATGCTGTCCACGCAAAGCCTGATGTGGGGCTCGAACCCACGAACTGCGAGACCACGGTCTGAGCCAAAGCTGGATGCTCGACCGACTGAGCCACCCAGGTGCCCTTGTTTTTGAATTTTTAATATCTGGTAAATTGTTGGGAGTATACAGAAATATAAAATTAATCTTTGCATCTTGTCCTTGCGTCCTGAAGCCTTGGTGCAACTGCTTGGTAGTCCCAGTAGCTTTATTATTATTATCATTTTTGTAGACTGCATGAGGTTTTCCATACACGTGATTATGCTGTCTGAAAACAAAGGCTGCTGTATTTCTTCCTTCCCAACAGGGCACTTTGAATTTCCTTCTCTCACCTGCTGAGTGGGCTACAACTCAAATACAACTCAGGAGGAAGGGGGTGAGAGTACATAGCGCTGTCCTAGCCCTGGACTTCCACCCAGGTGTGGTGGGGGTCCCACAGATGCCCTCCATCAGCTTGAGAAGTTTTCCTTCTATTAATAGTTTGCTGAGAGTATTTTTTTTTCAATCAGGAATGAGTGTTGGGTTTAGTCACATGCTTTTCCACATCTACTGAGGTGATCATATGTTTTTACTTTAATTTTAAAAAAATATGGTAAGCCAAATTGATTGATTTTGAATGTTACACAATTCGCGGGTGGCTCAGTCAGTTGGACATACGACTCTCCGCTTAGATCATGATCTCGTGGTTCATGAGTTTGAGCCTGTGTTGGGCTCGGCGCCGACAGCTTGGAGCCTGCTTGGGATTCTCTCTTTCCCTCTCTCTCTGCCCCTCCCCCACTCATGCGCACATGCTCTCTCTCTCTCTCTCAGCCTCTCTCTCTCTCTAAAAAATAAAATAAATATTAAAAGCAAAAATGAACTATTGGGACCTCATCAAGATAAAAAGTTTCTGCACAGCGAGGTAAACAATCAGGAAAATGAAAAGGCAACTGACAGAATGAGAGAAGATATCTGCAAATGACATACTAGATAAAGGGTTAGTATCCAAAATCTATAAAGAACTTATCAAACTCAACACCCAAAAAACAAGTAATCCAGTGAAGAAATGGGCAAAAGACATGAACAGACACTTCTCCAAAGAAGACATCCAGATGGCCAACCGAGACATGAAAATATGCTCCACATCACACCTCATCAGGGAAATACAAATCAAAGCCACACTGAGATAACACCTCACACTGGTCAGAGTGGCTAAAATGAACAAGTCAGGAGACTCTGGATGCTGGCGAGGATGTGGAGAAACGGGAACCCTCTTGCACTGCTGGTGGGAATGCAAACTGGTGAGGCTGCTCTGGAGAACAGTGTGGAGGTTCCTCAAGAAACTGTAAACAGAACTACACTACAACCCAGCAACTGCACTACTAGGTATTTATCCAAAGGATACAAACATGCTGATTCAAAGGGGCACACGTTTATAGCAGCGCCATCGACAACAGTCAAATTATGGAAGAGTCCAAATGTCCATCGACTGATGAATGGATAAAGAAGATGTGGTTTATATACGTAATGGAATACTACTCGGTGATGAAGAAAGAATGAAATCTGGCTATGTGCAACAACGTGGATGGAACTAGAGGGTATTATGCTAAGAGAAATAAGGCAGTCGGAGAAAGACAAATATCACAGTATTTCACTTGTGGAAATTAAGAAACACAACAGATAGCATAGGGGAAGGGAAGGAAAAATAAGATAAAAACAGAAGGAGGCAAACCATGAGAGACTCTTAAATACAGAGAACAGACTGAGGGTTGCTGGAGGGGAGGTGTGTGACGGGTTGGGCTGAATGGGTGATGGGCATTAAGGAGGACACTTGTTGGCATGAGCACTGGGCATCATATGTAAGAGATGAATCACCGGGTTCTACTCGTGAAGCCAAGACAACACTGTATGTTAACTAACTTGAATTTAAATAAATAAACAAAAAAGAACAACAACAACAACAACAGCAAAAGCATTAAAAAAAATTCCCAGGATAGTCCCGACTTGACATTGATGTCTTCTCCTTGTTACATATCGTTGGATTTAATTTGCTGAATTTTTGTTTAGAACGTTTGCATCCATGTTCGTGATGAGAGGCATCTATCTGAGGCTCTTGTTTTGGTATCAGGGTAATACTAGCCTCATAGGGTGCTCCCCTCTCCTCAGTTTTCCAGAAGGGTTTGTGTTGAATTGGTGTTACGCTTTCGTTACCTGTCCGCTGGGATTTGCCGCTACAGCTTTCCGGGTCCGAGGTTCTCCTCGTGGGAACTACAAGTTCCGTTTCTTTAACAGATGGAGGGCTATTCAGGTGACCTGTCTCCTTTTGAGTGCGTTTTGGTTGTTTGTGTCTTTCAAGGAATCTTCCACATTATCGTGAAGTTGTTCAGGATAGCCCCTTATTATCCTTTTAATATGTGTGGGATCAACAGTGATGTCACACCTCCTATTCTCTGATATTGGTTATTCACGCTCTCTCTTTTCTTCCTGATCAGTCAGGCAGAAGTGTGTGTATTTATTGATCTGCTCAAATAACAACTTGTGGTTTTACTGATTTTACCTTCTAATTTAATGTTTCCTATTTTACTGATTTCTGCTCTGATCTTTGATTTCCTTTCTTCTGTTCATTGGGGAGCTGGTTCCTTATCTCCTTCCTTATGGTGAGGCCTGAGGTCATTAATTTGGGATCTTATTTCTTTTGTCATACGGTCATTTAGTGTCACAAAATTTCCCCTAAGCATTCCATTAGAGATGCCTTAAAAATTTTGATGCGTTTTTTTCCCCCCCTTCAGTTCAGAAACACTTTCCCTGTTGATTTGCTCTCTGGCTCATAGTTATTTTGGTAGATGCTACTCACTGTCCATGTATCTGGGCAATTCCACCCATAGCTTTCTGGGTTTGTTTTTTAACTGAGGTAAAGTTCATATAACGTGAAGTTAACTGTTTCAAAGTGCACAGCTCGGTGGTGCTTCGTGTGTTCGCAGCCTTGGGAGGCACCTCCTCTGCTTTCAAAATGTTTCTGTCATTCCAAAAGGGAACCCCTTACCCACTCAACAGCCATCTCTTCTCGATGGCCTCGCAGCCCCTCCCCTGCAACCACGAATCAGCTTTCTGCCTCCATGGGCTAAACTATTCTTTTATGCTGCTTTTTGATTTCTACGTTAATTCCATGGCAGTCTTGGTACACCATCTTTTTTTTATTTATTTAAATCTCTTTATATTTATTGAGACTTGTTCTATGTTTAGGATCCAGAATATGATCTATCGTGGAGACTGTGTCGTGTGCCCACGAAACAAAAAGAACGCGATCCTGCTGCTGCTGGGGAGATGCATTATAAACGCCCACTATGCAACCTGGTCGGTGGTGGTGCACAAACCTAGCTCTCTGCCTGAGGTCTTCTTGTTCTGTTAATGATGATTTGTCTGCCTCTCCGCCGCAGTGTCACAAGTCTTTCCTTCGTTTCTTTGGACGATCTGCTATTAGGTATTTAGAGTTTAGAACATGACGTCTCCGTGGTTACCGGCTCCCCTTACACCGTGAAACCAACCCGCTCGTCCCCGTGACGCTCTTCCTCCGAAGCCTGCCTGATGCGGGCGGGGCCGCCCGGCTTCCTTCGCTGTGTGTCAGCATCGTGTACCGTCTCCCATGCTTTTACTTCCGGCCTAGTCACGTCTGTAAAGTGGCTTCCCTGTAGGCAGCGCATGGTTGGATTTTGCTTCTTCATACCATCTGACGAGTTCTGTCATTTAACTGGGGATCCAGACCATTCCGGTTCGCGGGACTGTGACATGACTTGTTTGTCTCCTGTACGGCCCGGCTGTTCTTTATTCTCTTTCCCCTTTTTCCGCTTTCTTGAGGGACAAGTGAATGGTTTTTAGGATCTCCTAAGCCCTTCTTGGCTTATCAGGCATGCCTCTTTGTTCTGAGATTTTCGTAATCCCTTCAGGGTTTAGAGTATATTTTGCCACTCCACTCAGAGCACAAAACTCCTTCACACTGCTCTTGTCACACATCTTGTTTACACGGGTGTTACCGACCTGATGCTACGCTGTCATCATTTTGCCGGAACAGTCAGCTATCCTTCGGAGAGATTTAAATAACGAGAGAAAATCGTCACAGGTTTTCCCGGGTAGCTCACACTCGCCGTGCCCTTCGTTCATCTGTGCAGATCACATTTCCACGTGGGGCCGATTTCCTTCCGCCTCAAGGACAACTGTGCGGTCCCGTCGCGTGTCTGCTGCCACGCGCTCGGCTCTTGGAGGTCCGGGGGAGTCTTTACTTCGTTTTCATCCTCGAGAGACGTGTTTGCTGGGTACCGATCAGCGGCTCTCGCTCCAGGCTCTTCGTGACGCTGCGTCACCGTCTTCCAGACGGCACTCTTTCTGTTGAAGTCGGCTGCTCTGCACTTACCGTGTGCTTGCAATTCTGACCCGTCTCGAAGAGCCCTCGCAGCCACCGGCCGGAGACAGCTGGGTCACAACGTGCCCTTGGCATACTTGGATTCCAGTGGGCTCATAGTGGCTTTCAGCCATTATTTCCTCAAACAGCCTTTGTCCCCTCCTGGCCCTCCTCTCCTCACAAGGTTCCGATTATTGCGCTCTCGGCACGTCGACTCACGGGTGTTCTGGCGATCTCCACTCTTGTCCACGGCCGCCTCCGACCCTCTCAGTCTCTGCTCCCCTACCCATCCGGTGCGTGCTTCCCCACACACGTGGTTTTCACCTCTGTCTGTTCGCTCTCTCTCTCTATGTCTCCTGTATCTCCACTTAGCCTTTGGAGCTTGAGGAATGCAGTCAGTAGTAATTTTTAACATCCTTGCCTTTGAACTCTGGTATCTGTGCCAGTTCACAGACTGTTCTGAGGTGTATTTCCTGCTTGGGCATGGTGATTTTCGCACGCGAGTTTTGACTGGGATTTTGGCACGGTGATTTCTCACCCGTTGCCAGACGTGGCGCATCTTGCTTTTTTGGCGGATGGACATTTGTGCCCTGCTCTTGCCTTTGCCCTGGGACCCCAGCGCGCAGACACTTGGATGACTTTGCAGGCTGATCTGGGGCAGGGCTCATCCAGGGCCGGATCATCCCCGACTGGCCTCGGGGTCACGAGGTTGTCCGCTGGTGGGAGCAGGCGCTGCCCCAAGCCTGAGTGGGGGCCCAGCCCCGTACCTGTCCCCCTGGGTGCCCCTCAGCCACCCGGAGTGTCGACGGAGGTGGAGCCGCCTCTGCTCAGGATGACGGCACGGATGCTGACATCTAGTGTGTTGAACATCTGCTTCACGTTTTTGTCTACTTTTTGGTTATTTCAGAAGGGAGGGCAAATCCAGTCAGTGTCACTCCCAGAAGTGGAAGCCGGCGGCTTGTTTAAGGCAAGTGGGGGGCGTCTGTGCGTGCCCTGGGGGTGCTCCGGGCTCGGGGGGGGGGGGC